CAGGGATTGTGGCATGGCCATCCCCCTGGGGGGTGATTTCTCGCTTTCTGTCTCTGTCTCTCTCTGTCTGGCGAGCACATGCGCCCTATAGCAAAACCCCCCCCCAAAAAAAAAAATAGAAAGAAAAAGAAAAGGAAAAAGAAAAAGAAAAAGAAGTGGCTGCACTGTGGTCATCCCCCCCAGGGTGTGCTTTCTCCTTCTCTCTCTAGTAAGTTATATACCCTATAGCAAAACTAAGTAAACAAAATTAAAAAAAAATAGAAAAATCTGAAAAAGCCAGAAGGAACAAAGAATAATATTTTCAAGGATGAAACAGATGACAGTTGACTTTTCAAATGCAATGATGATGAAACTTAGAAGACAGTGGAATAGCATCTTCAATGTGCAATGGAAAAATAAATCTTTAAAAACTTTTTTTAAAAAATTGAACTTTATTCTATTGATTTATTTTAATTTGACCAGAGAGAGACAAAGAGAAAGAGAGTAAGAGAGAGAGAGAGTGAGTGAGTGAGTGAGAATGCAAACCACCAGGTCCATGACTCAAACTATGGTCGGCCATGTGGGAGTCCAGTGCCCTTAACCACCATGCCACCTACTAGCTCTACCAATGCCCTTATTTAAACTCTACAGCTGTTCCATAACCTATTTGCCTTATTTTCATACATTCTTATGCTGTTTTTTCTTTTTTTTTTTCAATTGACAGGTGTGTGCACACCTACTGGTGTCAGGATGTAGAAATGGAAAGGGAAGGTAGTACAGTATTTCTGAATAGCTACAAAAACATTAAAGATACATGTATAAGCTCTTAACCACCAATTCTACACTTAGAAATTTATCTGAAGAAATGTTTGGACAGTTATGTCAAGATATTTTGTAAGAAATATGTATAGTACTGTTTTTAACCGCGAAAGGGGGGAGGGCACAAAAAACTAGAGTGACTGTAATTTAAAATACCCCAAATAGAGGGTTTATTAGACAAGGACAATAGGGGTTTCAGCAGGGATAAGAAAGCTCTTTCCAAAGGGGCACAGTCATACTGCAATCCTTTCTTACCCCGTTCTCTATCCCGTTAGGATCCTGGGCACATGCACACACCCCCGGCGTGTTTTTCAAGCTCACTTGACCAGCATGCCAACCCAGGGCAGCCCTAGGGTCCAACTTCTCCTGCACAGCGCCTATCTGCTGAAATACAGGACTGGCCCTTATACTTTAGTAATTTACTAGGGAAAAAATGATGGCTTGGCTAAAGTTGTGCAGACAAATGTTGACCACAATTTTGTCCCAAATTTGTGAAAAAATCCCAAGCTAAATCAAGAAGCTGCACAATTTACTATTCAAATGGAGCACATGGTCACTAACAGAGAGCAGCAAGATGATGGCCAAGGGAAGAGGTAAGGAAGAGAATCTCATACAACTGTGCCGTTTTTACACATAACTAAAACAGCACATGTAAATAATCTTTAGGTATAAAGATGTTTCATAATTAGTCTTTTCAAAGAAATAAAATACCACAGTTGCTTTTTATCCTAATTACATACATACCTATCTTCATCATCCACAATAGGCAGCAAATTTATTTACTTTTTAAAAGAATTAATTTTCTTTATTATTATTAAACTTTCTATAGGGCACGTGCGCTCACTAGAGAGACTGAGAAAGAGAACAGTGAGAAAGCAAGCCACCAGGTCTGGGACTCAAACCAGTTGGCTATCGTCCAGCATCCTAACCACTACATCACCTGCTAGCCACAACAAATTAATTAAAAAACATTTTTTTTTTAGGTTTTTGCCATAGCGTGTGTGCACTTGCTGGACAGAGACAGAGAGAGGGAAAGTGAGAAATCATCCCCCAGGGGGGATGATCACTACACCACAATCTATTTTCCTCTCTGGATTTTGGGCATGCATGCATACCCTGTGTGACTCTGAAGCTGTCAGGTCCAGGACTCAAACCGCGGTTGACCATGTGGGAGTCCAGGGCCTTAATCGCCAAGCCACCTACTGGCCTCAGCAGTAAATTTCTTTTTCTTTCTTTTGGAGGGACAGGATGTGTGTGGGGTTGGGAATGTGAAAAAGCAAGCTGCCAGGTCCAAGACTCAAACCATGGCCAGACAAATGGGAGTCCAGCGCCCTTAACCACCACACCAACTGCCAGCCCCTCCTGCAGTAAATTTCTTAAGAGTAAGGTTTACCTTTCTTCCTTTCCTTTCCTCTTTCCCTCCCTTTTAAGATAGAAAAAGAGGAAGAGGAAGGGGAGAGACAGGGACCTTTCCCAGGGGCTTCGGCACCTTAACCACCGCACCACCTACTAGTCCCTAATGAATAGTTCTTAAGGGTCTATGGATCCCCCCTGCCCTTCAGAAAGCCAGGATCACTGGCTGAGCCTACAGGTGCACCTGGTGTGTTCAGGTTGATCTGGGAACCGAACCCCAGGCCTTTCCATATGGCTCCAATATGGTGCAATAGTGCCTTACCATCAGCACCACTGCAGCTTTATCTTATTTATATCTGAATTACCGGAAGGATTAAACAATGTCTCAATAAATATTAATTAGCTTTAATAATGCCCACTGTTGCAATAAGAACTATTCTATAAAATAGCTTTCCTTTTGAACACTTTCGTATGTTCAAAATATTGGGCAATTTCCTTTCTTCTCTCCTTCTCACCTATCTTCCCTCCATACTATTGTACATAATGAGTTCAAAAACTGCTGAGATTTCTGTTTGCCAATGCTAACTCCTCATCTACCTAATCATCCTCAGATCATGGGTGTGTTTGTCACATCAATGCAAGGTACAATAGATCATGAAAGTTGCATTCTGTTTTCTGGAGATAGTTTTAAATTACTTTAAGTTATACCAAATAATACAATGAATATTATTTGTCTCAAGTGCCTTTTTCTCCAATCCCTTTAATTTTCTATTTTTCTAAGACTTACTCCTTTATCTATAAAACCTACTAATGGTTGTGCCATAAGGATGGCTTAGAATTTATCAGATAATACACAAACTGTTGACCCATTTTGTGGGTCAGTACCTAAAATCTCAGAAATATATGTATTGGGGCCAACAGGTAGCACGGTGGTTGAGGTGCTGAATTCCCACACTGCTGTCCATGGTTCAAGTCCCAGACCTGGTGGCTTGCTTTCTTGCCTCCCTCCTGTCCCGCTGTCTCTGGTGAGAGTATGTGCCCTATAGCAAATTAAATTAATAATAATAATAATGATAAATACAATCGAATAAATAATTTTTTAATAAAAAAGAAATATATGTATTGCTTGTACCTATTATTTTACAATTTAAAGAAACCGAATTTTCATGAAAATAACTTCTAATAATAATCCTTCCAAAATGCCTAATATTTCCCTGAAGTTCAAGTAAATAATTCCTTTTAAATTAAAAAAAGTAGTTATTGTTTTTTGTTTTAAGTTTTTGCCAAATGGTGCATGTGCTAGCCACTGGAGAAAGACAGAGAGAAGGAAAGTGAGAAATCAAACCCCCAGGGGTAATGGCCATGCCACAATCCCTTCTCCTCCGCTCTTCTCTAGGGATTTTGAGCAGGCATGCACACACACCCAGTGAGACTTTCCAGCCGCTGGGTATGGGACTCAAATCATGGTTGGCCATGTGGGA